CATGGCTCGGGTGCTGAACGTCTCCAACCCTAGCATCCAGCGGAGATGCGGCTCCCTGCGAGTGCACATGCTGCACTGCAAGGGACGCTCCTATCCGGAGCTCTTCCTGGCCGGAGCGGGGCTCGGGATGGGTGCCGATCCGGAGAGCTACGCCGCCACCATACGTCGCTGCAGGGAGAAGGAGGGTGCCGCGTTCGCCGTGAGGAGGCGGCACTATCTGTGGCCCGTAGACATAGACGATGACCACGAATAGGCCTAGGCTGAGCATAAAGACGAGCGAGTTCGGTAGGAAGGCCGTAGTGAGGAGCTCCGCAGACGTCACCCAGAGGGAGACGGCATGCACCCCGTTCCTCGAGGTGACGGACGTCCACAGGACAGACTCACGATGTCACGCGACATTCAGGATCGGTGCTGACTCCCCGTTTCACGATTATCTCGCGTCCATCAACGACCAGCTCATGGCCTTCTTGTGTCCCATCGAGAATCTACGCATGCCGTACGACGCGAACATCCGAATCCTGAGAGTGAAGATGCCCGTGCGCGGAGGCCGATTGGCGGTGCGAGCGTACGACGCATCGTCGTTGGACGAGATACCCGCATCCGCCTTGGCCGTCGGTCGATGGGCGGCCGTCGAGATGACGCTGAATGACGTGTGGCTCGACGCCGTTGTGGTGTCGCCGACGTGGGTGGCGGAAAGACTCGTCGTCCGTTCGAACTGACTCTTTGCAGAAGACTCTACTACTTAAAGCATTCGTCACGCGGGTGAATCTCATTTCGAAACCATGGCCCCTTCGGACCCCCTCGACGTCCTGGGCGCAGACCTGTGCAGGTCGATCGTCGATCGACTCGAGAACGAAGACGCGGTGAAGACACTGGTCCTGTCCAAGGGTTGGAGCGAGGTGGTCGGGCGCAGCATCCGGGAAGTCGCCCCGGATCATGCCCTCGAATCGATAGAGTCCCTTCGGTCGCTCGCCCGCTTCGTCACCGATTCACGGGAAGGCGTGACGCAGCTCAAGATAGACGCCAACAAGCTGGAGACTCCCGGCGTGATCGACGTGCTCCGGACGATGGCGCCCAGCTTGCACGGACTCAGGCGCATGAGGCTGCATCTCGGAATGTGCTCCCAATCCGCCCTCCTCGACGTCTCCCGCATCCTCGCCCGGTCGGGGAGGCTGGAGGCGCTCGTCGTAAACTGCACGTCGTTTCGAA